TTTCAGGAACAGGATGAGAAAGTGGCCAGCCAGGAAAGCCAAAGTAACCCAAAGAGGTCTGGTTTGTGGTGAAATCTGGTGCTGAGGCTGCCGAGCAGGGAGCTGCGGGGTGGCCCAGTGGAGGAGGAGCGCAATGAGGCAGCGGAGCTGAGGATGGCACTGTGGTAGTGCCAGTGGGCAGCTCTGCACCGCCGCAAATGGAAACGCACTCCATGCCCGGGTGGAATAAGGCATTAAATCGTTGTTGCTTATTTCCTCCCTTTCGTTAAGATCGTCTGCAGCTCCCTGTGCATCCCTTGCATTGCGCAGAAGCCGCGTTTGTTGGAAACACGCTGCTCTGAAGCAGGGGCCGTGCCTCAGCAGCACACCTCACCGCTGCCTCGCTGCAGGACAAAGAGAAAAGAGCCTCTCTCAAGTCATTAACAAAGAGCAACAGGTATATATATATATATATATATATATATGGTGTTACCTCTACTTATTTTTGTGTCTCTTCTGCGCTGTTCTAGCTGAAACGTGGCTGCGTGGAGAGAGGAAATTGGGAAGTAAATCAGGAAGACAGTAACGCACCACAAGAACTGATCGGGAAAAAAAAGGAGAAAAAATTCAAGCATCTCAGCACTGATTAAAAAAATGGAGCTACCCAGGCGATGCCACCTTGCCAGGCAGTCACCTCACACGCCAACCTCAAAATTAAACTCAAATTTAATTTTCCAGCAAATTACAGCATTCCTCCTGCCTGCCACAAAACAAAGCTGCTTCGCACAAAAGTAAGTGTGAAGCACGTTAAAAGAGCAGGTCTTGCAGTCTGCGAGACCTGGCAGCTACCACTGCTGCCAAGTGGAGAACGCACACAGGAGAGGCAGAGGGACCGAAGATGGCATCTGCCGGAGCAGTGACAGTGAGGAAAGGAGCCCGGCAAGGAGCTGAGGGCTTCCTTGGAGCAGAAAGCCTTAACGTTTTTCTAGAGATGACACCCACGCCTGGTAGACCTCACCCCTGGGGCAACCCGCCCTGGGGTCACCTGAAGGATTGCACGGCTCTGAAATTCGGAGAACTGGTACTAAAGCACCAATATTCCCGCCTCGAGGTGGGCTGCAGAGGTCATGCCCCAAGCGCTTGCTGCAAGAACTCAGCCGCAGGCGATGTCTTCACCCGACCCATCCCTTGGCAAACAAGCCCGCTTGCCGTAAAAACTACCCACGTGCGTTAAACCCACCACCCAGCCCAGCAGCTGCGGGAGGAAACGCTCCTGCCCGGCATGACGTAGAGAAGAACCACTCCGGTTTTCCTCCGAATTGTAATTTTCAAACAAGGGGGAGTTGTTGGGAGGAAAGGAGGAGGCAGAGAGCAGAGCAGCTCTGAGCGGGGTTTATGTGCCCAGCCGGGGACAGCCCTGCAGAGGCTGCGGTGGCAGGGACCGGACCTAAGGACAGCAGAGCAGGGAGCCGGGGGGGGTCCCTGCTGACAAGACCCCAGACCATCTCACCCGTCGCCCCGGGACAGCCCGGCTCGGCACCTCCTGCAACCCCCCTGCTCCCCATCCCTGCAGATGCCCAAGGTGCTGCTCTGCTGAGCCAGGCGTCCACGGGGGACGTGCAGCACACGCCTCACCTGGGCTGGTCCCAGGCTGCAGTCTGGGGCAATCTTATTTAAAAACAGTTTTCTTTTTTTTTTAAAAAAAAAAACCAACCAACCAAACAAACCCCCTCAGAATTATTTGCTTTCTCCTTATTCACTTTCTGAAGACAAGAAAAATAATCCCCAGCCCGGAACCCGGGTTTCAGCCCCACCCTGACACAAAACACACCCTCTACCTTTCCTCATTAAAGGGATGAGAAATGCAGATTTACGGCTGTGAGGCAAAGCCCAGCTCCCGTCAAAAGTCAGTAGGATCTTTGCACAGATTTTCTGAGTGTTAAGTTTTTGCACAGGACATGCCAGACCCAACGTGGAAAAGCCAGGGCTTGCTGAGCGCCCCTGGCATCCTCCAGGGAGGGACAGAGCTGATGGCTGATGGCGATCGGAGCCTGGGACAAGCTGCAAGCGCTTTGGGCCTCAGGCCACGTTGTCTACACACTGCCCAGCATGGCCAAGGCCACCTCGCTCCCTCCCAGAGCCCCGTTACTCCCTGCCTTCGGCGTGGGAAATCTCCATCCAACCAAGCCGAAACACAGCAATACGACAGAAGACTACAGAGCGAGACTGGAAGTTCAAAGGGGTGGGAGGAATATGGTTTTCCTTTTAGCATCTCTGATTTCTCCTTGTGATGGGTCCCAGCCGTTCCCCTCCGGAGTCGACGCTTGGGAGGGATGCTGCCAGAAAGCTCAATGCTCCAATCCCACCACCACCTAAGCCAAGCAGCACACACTGAACTGGGACAGACGCCTGGACACTGCTTTGCTGCTGTACCAGTCCCACACTGGTGTAATGCTTGACATCTCCTGCCCTTGCCATGCTCCAGCCAAATGGTGCTGGTCGCCGGAAGGCAGCCGGGATGCTGGAGCAGCAGCACCCCCTCCAGAAAGCCTCTCTCCACTTGTTCTGTCAAGGTTTTTATCCTAATGAGGTCCCCACTCCTAGAAGCACAGAAGATGGAGAGCAGAGCAGCCTGCATTTACCAGCGGCTAAAAAAATTAGAGAGCAAGAGAGAGGGAAAGCCCCGAGGAGCGCTCGGTGCCCGGTGTACGCACAGCCGCTTCAGGAGCGATGGTGAAGGATGGAGAAAGGGGTGATTTGCTGCACGGGAGCGGTGTGAGGAGCAGAGGTAAGAGGGGTGATCACACGCGTGGCCAGCCCAGGAGAAGGAGGGGGAATCCCGGGCTGCCATGCCTGCGGAGAGGCTGCCCCAGCCGGAGGGTAGAGGAGGAGTGTAAGGACCGGTGGGGGAG